CAGAGTAATGAAGAATCTGTGAACACCTCATAACGTGCAGTGACATGGAGAACTGTATGCTGAGTGAAGTCAGTCAGTCACAGAAGGACAAACACTGTTATGGGCCCACTACTGTGAAAAGTTAGGGAAAAGTCTCCAGGCAGAAAGGAAATGCTGGGAAGCACAGCTGTGCTCTGACCCACACGTCCTGAATGGGGTCCATATGCCTGGAACTGGTCTGGTCATCGAAGGCCTATCCTGAAATTACGAGGCACACCTGCAGGGGGCAGCAGGCCTGCTCACAGGGTCTGAGTCGTCTGCCAAAGGGCAGCATCCACCCCGGGGAACAATTCCATGTCCAGCTGGTGCACACAGCACCGGCAGGCAGGTCCAAGGCTTCGGCTGGGAATCTGAACAACTGGCCTAGTTCCCAGATGCTGCCGGGTTTAGCTCTCCCCTGGTGGGCACCCACTCACTCCCCATGATCTTCGTCCCAGACCAGCCACTTACTGGAACTCTGCTTAAATCCAGTGGCCGAGTGGACGATGACGTTCAGGAAGCCATAGAGCCCAGGAGACTCGTCATCTGAGTAAGAGACCAGAGAGGTGAGTGGCTGTCCCCTTGGGGCCAGCTTTGCTTGTAAGTCAACTACTGGGCCTGTGCGGCCACCATGTGCCCAGCGCTGCTCTGCCTTAGAGTGTAGGATCTAGCGGGGGACACGACAGAGGCAAACAGGTCATTGAGATTAAGTGCAATGAGGCTCTGAGGGCAGAGGAGGGGTCAGGGGTCAAAGTGGGTCTCGGAGGATGTGTTTGTGCACAGTGCGTACCTGTGTGTGTGACTGGGTGATGAGTGTGTGTGCCCAAGGTTATATATACCTGTGTGTGTCTGGGGAGTTTGCGTATGTGTATGTATGCATGCACACGTGTACACCGGTAAGTGTTTTGGGAGCACTGCGTATGTATGTGTGTGTACAATCATATAGCTGTGCGTACACCCAGAGTGTGTGCTTGTGCATACAAGCGTACAGTTATGTGTGCCGAGAGTGTGTGTGTACATGTGCACACATAAGCATACAGCTCTATGTGCCAGGAGCATGTACGTGTGTACCTGTGTATGCATAACCACACAGCTGTGTGTGCTGGAGTGTGTGTGTGCGTATACGTAAGCATACACCTATGTGTACCTGGAGCACGTGCACGTGTTTCCGTACATGCATAAGTGTACAGCTCTGTGTGTTCTGGGAGTGTGTGCATGGTGACAATGAACACACAGTCTGTGTGAAGGTGTGGAACCAAAAAATGCCTTTTTGAGAGGAGGCTGAGGCCAGGCAAGAGCGGGGCCGGGTGAGGTGGGGCCAGCTGTAGAGGCCAGAAAGCCTGAAGAGGTGTGCAGGCCTTGTACTAGGGACAGAAGTCACCAGGACCGGTGTCTGACCCCATGTCTGGCGCCGGCTTCCCAGAGAACACCCTCCCAGCCCCCTCCTCCCCTCCCAGAGAGTGCAGCAGGCAGCAGTGTGCACCCCCACTCCCGCAAGGCCCACAGGTTGTGCAAACAGCTCGGACAGCAGAGGGAGAGGACCCCGGGCCTGCTGACTCCCGCCCGCCTGCAGGGGGCAGCATACCTTCCTTGTTAATGGTCAGCGGAATGTTGTGGACAGTCTGGAGTTTGACGCACGAGTTGGTCAGCATCTGCAGCTCCACTGAGGTCAGGGAGAAGCTTTTGAAGCCTGAGGGGGGGGACAGAGACACGCTGACTGGTTGTCGACACCATGCTGTGGATGCTCGGGGACCCTTCCTCAAGCTTCAGCATCCTGCAGAGTGGGGCACGGCCCAGGGGAGCCCCGCAGCAGCCGAGGGGAGCAGGGAGCCAGCATGACCAGCCTGTGTCACCTGCTCCCGGACACAGAGGCCATTCCAGGAGAGGGCAACCTGGTGCATCCTCCTAGGAGGTGTCCCAGAGGCCAGCACAGCTCTGAGCCTGCTCCGTGAACGTGGGCCCCATCTCCCATTGAGGGAGAAGAAGGGCTTATTCTGGGCATTGCGATGAACACAGCGCAAGTGCTACCACAGCGGAAATGGCATTAAGGTCCCCAAATGTCCCACACTGTAACAGAAAACGCCGGGCCAGAGCAGAGGCAGGGCCACGGGCACCAGCCTCTAGGCCGCAGGAAGCCAATCCTGTGCTTCCATCAGATGCCAGCTGCCCAGGTGGGAGGCAGGAGGCCTGAGGGCAGGGGTTCCAGCCACGTCAGGTATG